CTCGCTCGCTCACCCACCCGCAGCCGCCCGCGCAACACACGAGCTCTTTCGCGCACGGCGCGTGGTCGCGGAGCGTGGCGCGGGTGAGCTTGGCGTGGCAATGCTTGCAGCTGGCGGGGACGTCGGCGAGGAGCAGCTCCGCTAGCCGACACCGCGACGCGGCGTTCTCTGCTGCAGAGGTCGACGGCAGCTTTGAGCGGCAGACGGGGCAGCAGTGCGACGACGCGAGGCCACTCATGGTGTGGCGGCGCAGGCAGTGGCCGCAAAAGATGTGGCCCTCGGGGCACTGCACGATGGGCCCCGACGTCGGAAGCTCAAGGCAGATGCCGCACTCGACAAGCGCGCATGCCGGGGTGCGCTGAACGTAGGAGTCTCGCTCGGCTACGCACTCCGCGCAGCCGCAGGGGGTGGCGTCCGGCGTGAGGCGGGCAGCCTTTGCCTGCTCAAGGACGCTGTCGCTGTAGCAGGCCGGCCGGGGGGCGACCATTGGCATGTCGCGGACGGATGGCATGCGGCCTACTGCGGCCTGCCTCGATTTCCTACGAGATCTGTGTTCGGCGCCGACTCTACTCTCACGACATGTGTTTCTTTCGACATGTGTTTCTTTAGGCGTCATTTCAGATTTTCTAATCTGTTGCCCGCAACCTGCCCGCAACCGGCCTGCTCCAGACGAACCCTTCCAACGGGGGAAACTAGAGAGGCATCGGGGTCGCTGCTCATCGCAAACCCTGTCAGCAGAGTCCTCCTCCGGGAATGTCCGTACCGCCGTAGTGGGAGAGAGATAAAAAGAAACGCCCTTAAGCCACCACCTCTTGCGCAAACGTGCGCATGGAGCCCACGAGCAGCGCCGAGGACGCCGGAGTCTACTCCGTCTCCGTGCGTGGCCGCGCGCAGATCGCGCACTCCTTCAAGGGCGAGCTCTTTGGCGCCGCGCAGGCCCTCCACGGCTGCACGTATGTCGTCGACGCCGTCTGCAGGGGCGTGCAGCTGCAGGCCGGCGCCAACTACCTCGTCGACATCTGCGCCGCGGAGAGTGCGCTCAAGGCGGCGCTCGCCCGGTACGACCGCCGTAACCTCGACGACCTCGCCGAGTTTGCGGGCGACAACACCACCTGCGAGCGGGTCGCGCGCGCCGTCTGGGAGCGGGTCGCGGCCGCTCTGCCGCGTCCGCCGGCGCTCGCCTCCTTGCAGATCGTGGTGCGCGAGAGCGACGTGGCGCGCGTCGAGTACGAGCGCTCGCTCGGCGCGTCGGACGGTGGCCTGTACTCAGTCTGCGTGCGGGCCCGCTTCAT